CCACCGCCCCCAGACCCGCTTTCTTATCCCCACCCCCTTAGGAAATGGGGAGGGAGGAACAGGGGCCTTGCAGTCTCCTATCCAGGTGGAATTTCTGTTCCACTGTCACTAGTTTGAATTCTCACAGAACCTCTCAAAGGGGCTCACAACCTTGTCCCCTCACTGGGTTGCCCTGAAGTTCTGGTGAACCCAGGTCAGAAAGTATCATATAAACACTCAGTGTGAACTATGTTTGGGTCTCTCCCGGCTCTATTTCTGTAGAAAGCCCAAAATTCAGCTTTAAATTGCTAACATTAAGTGCTCTATCAATGTTCACCCTAGGATGGGTGTGTTCTAAGAGCCTCAAACACTCACTCTTGTTTAATTTCATCTCTACAATGACACTTAGAGGTAGGTCTTATAATCCCATTCTTACAGATGGGAAAACTGAGGCCCACAGAGGTTGAGCAGCTTTCCCAAGGTCACACGAGTTAGTTGTGGAACTGGACTCGAACCCAGGGCAGGCTGACCCCTAAGGCCTGTGTACAGACAGCCTCATGTCATGATGGGTTGGCTGAGAGGTCACGCAAGGCTGCTCCTTCCTGCCAGGACAGGTGGGTCTCCTCTGCTGTAGGTCTGTTGTTCCAGATGGTTCTTGAAGGCACTGAGATCTCTCCGCTGGCTGGTCTCCTTTCCTGGCTCATCGCTGTGGGCCACACCCTTCTCCAGGAGTCTTCTGTGGTTCCTGGAGACTCCTTGGCCCCTCTCCATCTGACTCCACCTAGTGCTCTCCCTCCTGCTTCCTTTGGCCCCATGGGTCACATCACCCAAGCCGCTGTCATTTCACTCCCCCTTTCTGCTGTTCTTATGTCCTTTTTGCCTCATTTTCGAGCTTCAGCTCTAGGGCCATCTCTCACATTTTCCTTCCTTTTCCTTTTCCATAGGTGTTTATTCGGCACCTGCTCCATGGCAGGCCTGAGTCTGTCCCTGTCCTGTGCGAATGCCTGTCTGATGGGGGAGGTGGCTCACAAAACAGTGACCACATGGCTTGGTTAGGGCTGTAATAGAGGCACCTGCTCCATGGCAGGCCTGAGTCTGTCCCTGTCCTGTGTGAATGCCTGTCTGATGGGGGAGGTGGCTCACAAAACAGTGATCACATGGCTTGGTTAGGGCTGTGATAGAGGCAGCTGAGGATGTGGGGCCAGGGAGGCCCTAACTCTCTCTGGGGAAGCTGTGGTGGGAGCTTGAAGGGGGTAGAGGAAGGGCTCACCTAGCACATAGGACAGATAAAGGGATCCTAGGCAGAAGTAGCGCCCACATGGTGGGAGGATGGAGCCGGGTGAGAGTGGTCCTCTGAGGAACGGCGTGTGGCCTGGAGCTTATGAGAGCAGCTGCAGGAGCCACAGAGTGGGGTCTCTGAGTAGTAGGGAGCCATTGAGGAGTCTTGAGCAGGGGAGGTATCTGGTCAGGCTTGCTCTTCAGAAAGGTCTGTACGGTCCTAAGGGACAGAATGAAGTCCCACAGTGGAGGGAGTTACAAAGACTGGGCCTAGTGTCCCTGTAAGGCAGGGTACGGAAAGTTATGGTTGTCGTTTTGGTGGATTTGCTGTTCGGAAACATGTGCCTGGTGCTGGAAGCTTGAAGAAGGTGGAGAGAACGGAGGCCTGTGGACAGGAACAGTCTAGTGAGCTAGCAGTGCCTAGTGGGGGCCCGAGTTGTCACGGTAAAGGGGGGGCCTGAGAGTTTAGGGGGGTGGGTCCCTGGGACTTGGGACTTAGAAGAGAGAGGAAGTCAAGGTTAAGTCTGTTGGTGTGGGGTTGCTGTAACAGGAGGGCTCATCCTGGTTCCCTGGTGTGACCCAGGGCCAGCCTTTCTCTCTGTGTGCGTCAGTCTCCTTAGCTCTGAGGGGACTGGGTGAAACGGCCCCTCCTGACCTGGCCCAGCAGGTCTGTGACATGGCTGTGGCCCAGGAAGAAGGACACAGAGCCTGTGGTGTAGCCAGTCTGGGATGACCAAATCTGGCCAGGTCTGCTGTGGTCTGGGGCCAGTGTAGGCACCTCTGCCATCCGAGAGGGCATGTCTCTGACCCCCAGATGCCCTTCCCACCTTCACAGCGGGCTCTGCTCTCCCTGTCAGCTGTCTTGGCTCAGCCTGGCCTGGCTGCTCCAGGCCCTGACTCCATCTGGGGCCTCTGCTCTCCCTGTGACTGGCCCTGGGAGGGGTGGCCTGGCTCTGGGGCCCCATTGGCCGAACCTTGTCTGGGCTGCACACGCCCCTGCCTCCCAGGCTGGCTGCCTGCCCACCTTGGGGTAGGAGGCGGGCCAGCCTGGCCTGCCATGACGTGGGCAAGACTGCCTTGAGCCAAGGAAGGAGTTGGAGTCTGAGAGGCCATGCCTGGGGGCAGTGGCGCTGCTCTGTCCCTTCCACTCATGCTCCAGCCCCCGGGGCTCTGTGCCCTTCTCCTGGACAAGAGCAGGGGGTGGCCACCATGGGTCTTGTCCCTCAGTTTGCCTGAGAGCTCAGCCCTGCTCCGAGGAGCACGAGGTTGCCTGTCTGACAGAGTGACGGGACCTCCCAGCTTTCTCAACAGAAATGTCAGCTGGGCCTGCGAGAGCCCTGCAGGGGTGGAGTCCAGTCCAGTTGGGGCGTGGCAGGACTGGGGCTGCCTTAGGAATTGGCAATCTTCCCCTGCCCCTGCCTGCCCAGTGAGTGACCAATGAAGCTCAGGAGGGGCGGGGATGTGCTCAGAATCACCAAGCACTGGAGGCCCAGGGCTAGGATTTGAACTCAAGTCTGTCTCTGCTCGTCCCTCCACAAACCTTTGATGAGGTCCTACCATGTGCCAGGCCCTTCTAAGCATGAGCAGTAGAGTAGAGGCTTTTCAGAGGGAACAGACCAGTTTATTTTTGTTCTCTCAATGTTTGGTCCAGGGCACAGGGGAAGTGCTCGGTGAATGAATGAATGAACAAATAAGGCAAAGATTCTGCCTCCTCCGGGCCTGTATAATCCAATGTGAGGGTAGTGACTCCTTTTCATGGAACAGGAAATAGGAGGCTGGTGGGAGTGGAGACTGACCAGGTGAGAAGCAGAGGGAGGACTGGAACTCAGGTGTCCTACTTGCTGGTCTACTGCTGTTTCCATCCTCACTTTCCACATCTGTAAAATGGGGTCAATAGTTCTCATGCTCTGCCTTCCTTGCGAGGACCTGATGAGGTGGTAATACAAAAATCGGTTTGTGAAGCAGGGACATTGTGTGTCGGGCTTCCTGTGTGCATGCCTGGAACTGCCCAGAAATCCCACCTGGTCTGCTCCCTTTCTTCTGACCACCTACCCTTTACATCTTGCCTCCCCCATTTTCCCTAGCATGCTCTGTGGCTTCTTTCTGGAAAGTTCTGCCCAGAACCCCTGGTCATGGGATGGGTGTGGGAAGAGTACAGGGGACTGGAGTCTGCCTGCCTCCTCCCTCTGCCATCTCTCACACCCAGAAAGGCAACCGCGCAGCCGCATCTATGCAGGCCTGCAGTGCACAACAGGCTGGAAGTGCCTTGGCAGTGGTTACCATGGTGATGGGTCCTGCTGCTTGGCCACCATAGTGGCCTGCCAGATGCCGGCAGGAGCCCGGAATCCTGGCAGCCTGGCACCCTGCAGGGCTCTTCCCAGGCTGAGCGATCCTGGGGCTGCCCTCACTCTCTCCTTGACATGGAGCATGGTACCTCAAACCTGGGGGCTCTCTGGAGTGAGCTGCCTCTCCAGGGACCCAGAAGCTGTTCTAGGTCAGAAAGGCCTGGTTCGAATCCCAGTTCTGCTGTTTGGGGGGTCCACGACCTGGAATGAGTCACCTTGGTATGTTTTTTGAATTTATTGAATTGGCTGTGGGAGCCTCGTGGGGGAAATTATCCAAGGAGGACAGACTGCAGCACAGAGAGCTGTCCTTGCCCCTCTCTGGGGCTGTGGCAGGGTCAGTGTTGGGGCGTGGCAGTGGGCCATCTCAGCCCCAGGAGCAGCCAGTGTAGTGTGGTGGTAGGACCTCAGGCTCTGTCGCCAGACCTTGGGTCACAGCTGTGCTCCCCGCTTCCTAGAGCCCCACCTGCAGACTGAAGGTAGCAATGAACCCACCTCAGGGGTTTGTCCTGTGGCTCCAGTGGAATGTGTACACACCAAGTGCTTAGCAGAGTATTTGATGCCTAGTAAATGTGATAGAAATGTTCGCTGCGACTGTTACCCGGGCCACAAGAGCTGGGACTTGGGTCATTTCTCTCACACAGGCAGGGGTGCTCAGCTCTCGCTCACAGCCTGTTAGGGAGAGCAGGCCAGAGAGCTAGGAGGCCCCGTTCTTCATCCCAGCCCATCCAAGGCACTGCCCTGTACGTCCCATCCCTTCTGCCTGGGGACAGGCAAGCGAGGCCCTGGGTAGAAACTCCACCTCCAATTCATGAGTCTGAGGCCTTCCTGGGCGGCTCCTCCAGCTGGCAGCTGCGGCAGCCTTGGCCTGGATCGGACAGCTGGTCGGTGGTGGCCTGGAGCCCTCCGGGTCAGGAAAGCCAAGTGCTAAGGACAGACGAACACCCAGTGAAGGCGCCGCCTCTGAGGTCATCCGGAGAACGAGGGAGCCTGAGGAAGGGCGCGCTGGGGGGGGGACATAGGAGCTGCTTCTGGGAACACTTTATTGGGAACAGAGGCCTCCCTACGTGGAGCGGGGGGACCTTTCGAGAATGAAGATCAATCTGAGGCAGAACTTTAGCCAACTGGCCCTCCAGCAGAAGGGAGGACTGAGCTTCCCTCCTCCTCCCCTCAGGTTCAGCCAGGGTCCTGCTAACACGGAGTTGGTGGCCAGAGGGAAACTGGGCAGAACCCTGGGCTCCGAGAGCCTAGGCTGGAAGGGGGTGGCCACTGCTGGAGTTTGGGGCTGGTGGGAGGCGGCCCCTGGGGTGTCTCTGTTCCCCCTGTGGCACTCAGGTCTTGGGACGGTGGGCCTGGGAGAGCCTGCAGCAAGCCGACCTTTCTGTCCCCGCTGTTTCCCAGGGCATCGCCTCTGTGTTCTCGAACCGCACATCCCGGAAGTCCTCCTCTCACACGGAGACTGCCGCTGGGGCCATGGGGGACCGCGGGGGGTACAGGAACCCCACGGAGGTGCAGATGAGCCAGCTGGTACTGCCTTGCCACACCAACCAGCGTGGCGAGCTGAGTGTCGGGCAGCTGCTCAAATGGATCGACACCACCGCCTGCCTGTCCGGTGAGGCTCTGCCGGGCACAGGTGTGCTCCCTCGGGCAGCCCCGCCACCCGGACGGGAGGTCCCCATGATCAGAGATGGTCACCGTCCCCTCCAGGCACCGCCCTCATTCCTCATCCTGCTCTTTGCTCATGCTGTTCCACCTGCCTGCAATGCCCCTTCCCAGTTCTCGATGCTCAGCCCAGGCCTACCCTCTTCCCACAACCTGCGCGCAGCTCTGAGGGCTGGCCTGCACCCTTGGGTCCCTGCTCCAACAGAGGGCCACCTCCAGTGGGGCTGCTTCAGACTGGCCTGAGGGTGCCAGGAGCTCCCTGCTCTGTAGCACGGCTTGATGGGGGCTGGGCAAGGCAGAGTTGGGCCCTGACCCCGCCCTGGGGGCAGGGGAGGGACTCTGGGGGGACTAACATGGCCACGAGCATAGTCCCGAGGGTGAGAGTGACTCAGGCATGGAAATGCGGGTGATGTCCACGGCAGAGGCGTGGCTCCTGGGAGAGCTGGGAGGTAGAATAGCCCAGGCTAATGACTCAGTCATTGAACAGCTGCTCACCGGGGGTCTCCCATGGGCCACCTGCGGGCCAGGCACCATTCCTGGACTGGGGCCCAGCAGTGAACGAGAGGGACAGAACTCCTGGCCCTCAAGTTTCAGTATCACAGCAGGGAGAGATGCCAGACAGATGATCAACAAACAGGGTTGGGGGTAGTGAGCGAGGTGGAGAAAGTAGAGGAAGGTGGGGGTGTGGACCAGGAGGCACAGCCTCAGCTCGGGCCACCTGACATTTGCTCAGAGGCCTGGTGACATGGGGACGCTGCTAATGTATGGCTTTCTTCTGATGCCAGCCGAGAGGCACGCTGGCTGCCCGTGCGTCACCGCTTCCATGGACGATATCTATTTTGAGCACACCATTAGGTAAGTGGCCCTACCTACTTCTTGGACCTCTTGGTCTGCCCACCATGAAGCTAGGGCCCCTCCCCCATCTCCCCACCTGGTCGGCCTGTGAGCTGCCTGGAACCCTGGAACCCAACTCGACTAACCAAGGGCCTCTGCGGAGCAGGTACAGACCTGTTTGCGGGGGCTCTGGGAGACCCATGGACTGGAGCTGGCCTGTCGCTGGGTGCCGTAGGGTGGATTCCCGCAGCCAGGTTTGCAGTTGGACGTTGCTGAGGCAGCATTGTGGGGTGCTGTGTGTCTCTGGGGAAGTCAGTCTCTTTCTCTGGGCCTCAGTTTTCTTATCTGCCAAATGGAAGGGAATAGACTTAATCAGTGCATGTCCTTTGGAACTTGGACATTGTCTGTGGGCCATTGGACACTGGATTGTAGAAAGGTTTCTAGGCAAGGTCCCTCGGCAAAGCCTGAGTCAGAAGCTTGGGCCATTCAGCCTCTGCTCACATACCCCCAGGAACGAGGAGTTCATTACCTCACAGTTTTTTTGTTTTGTGGTTGCTTTCTAAAATGTCTGTACTAGTTTCAAAACTCTTCATTACCCTGTGCTGGGCTTTGCCTCCATTTAGCTTTGCTGGGACTCAAGGAGCATTCCAAGCCCTTGGCCCAGGACAGGCTGCAGGGGGCTGCACACAGTGTTCTGGCCTTGTCCTTAACGAACAGGCCACATTTCCTATATATCTGGGGGTGAGTGTGATGGCATAGAGGGTAGTCAAAGGGGGCTTCCTGGAAGAGGTGTTCGAGCTGGCTTCAATACCATCAACACCATATGTAGTGCCCCTCTAAAAGCCAGGGGAGTGGTGTCTGGGCCAGTTCTAAGTCTCTGCTGTCAACACAGTTTTTGTCACTCTGAGGAGCTAGGGAGGAGAGGACTGGGAGTAGGGAGTGGGCATGTGTTGATGGATGGACCTGCTGCAGGACTCAGAAACTGAAGGTGAGTCTGGGCCAAGGAGGGTGTGGGTGGAAGGGGAAGCCAGAAAAGATCCTGGGAAGGAAGGCCAGCTGGGGATGGGTCTGGAGCAAGGCTGGTGACCAGGAAAGGCCTAGCTGCCCCTGAGGAAACCTGCAGAAGGTTTTTTTGGTTTGTTTTTGTTTTTGCCATTTAAAGATATTTCAAAATGTATCTCTCAGTGGTAAGAACTTTTAAACATAACCTCAACATCATTGCTACACCTAAACAAAACTAGCAGTAATGTCTTACGAACGTCAAATATCCGGTCAGCATGCAGGGGCCCACACTGTCTCCTGATTTTGTTTTTATTTTGCTTTATAGTGATTTTTGTTGTTCAAGTCAAGATTCAGATAAGGTTGCAGTTGGTTGCTGTGTCTCTTAAGTCTTTTTTATCTACAGGGGCTTCCCCTCCCCCAGCATCCTGCCCCCTCACCATCTCTCCTTTTTCCCTCACAATTTATTTGTGGAGGAGACCTAGTTCTTTGCCCTCTCAAGTTCTCCACCATCTGGGTTCTGCTGTTAGCATCACTGCGGTGTCATTTAATATGTTCTTCTGTCCCCCGCCAGTAAATTGGTCCTGGGGAAGGGCTTGCACAGGGCTCAGACTGTGGGAGCTGCCTCTGTGGGATGTGAAGTACACCCAGAGGCAGAGTTGGGGAGCTAGAGGCTGGAGGGGGCCCCTTAGGAGGCTGGGCAGTGACCCCAGGGAAGGAGCCAGTTTTGGCCTGAGCTTTGGGATGGAAGAGTGTCAGGAGGGAAGAGGAGCTCGGGAGTTCAAATGGGTGTCTGCCTGGCTTTGGGGAAAGCTAGTGAGGAGGAGGGTAGCGGGAGGAGTGGGATGGGAGGGAGAGGAGGAGGAAGAAGAGGTAGAGGGGGAAGAGGAGGAGGAGGAAGAGGGAGAAGAGGAAGAGTAGGAGGGGGAGGAAGAGAAGAGACACAAACATCTCTTTAGCACCACAGAAAGTAGACTGTTATTTTAAGGATCATGGAAATTTTTTCTTAATTTCTTATCATGAAAACTTCCAAGACTCTAGAAAACTTGAATAGTGCAATGATCACCATCAGTGAGATTCAAGAATTAACTTTTTTTTTCTCAGTATGCTTTATCTATATATGGATAAATAGATACACATACTTCTCTCTCTCTTTTCTCAAGTATTTGAAAGTAAGTTACAGACATCATGACACCTCATCCCTCCATGTGTCAGCACCTATCTCCTAGAAACGACAGTCCTTCCATGCCTATTAGGACTGAGGGCAAAATAAACAGAAATGGACAAGTCCTTGGCAAACGTGACTTTCTATTATTTATGGAGCTTGTGCTGTGGGGCTAGGCCTGGCACTGGCTCTGTCACACCTCCTCTCACTTGACCCTCAGTAGTCGTGCATCTTGGTACTTGACAGACAAGGAGCTAGGCTCAGAGACACAAAGCAACTCATCCAAGGTCACACAGCTCCGTAGTGTGACAGTCATGCCAGAGCTGGACTGGAACCCAGGCACCTGTGACTCTTCTCACTGTGGCCACTGCCACCCCGTGAGAGGCAGGCCTGTTGGAAGGGACCCTGCCTAGTTTTGGGGAGGAGGCTGTACATTTGATGAAGAAATTCGCAGAGTGCTCTCTATGTTTGTGAGCCAAGGCACAGAGAGATGAAAGAACTTGCTCAAGGTCACCCCAGACCCTGTCTGGCTCTTCCTCCTTGTCTTTCAGAGGGGCACCCTCAGCTGCCTCCAGTTAGACACAGAGCGGGTGAGGTGGCTCCTGTAGGGATTCTGACTGTTTATCTGGACATGGGAATTATTCCAGAGGGACAGGCTACAGCTGGAAAGAGTGGGGCCCCTGTAGTCCACAGAACCCTGGCCCTGTAGCCCACAAAACCCTGCAGCTGGAAAGAGTGGGGCCCCGGTAGTCCACAGAACCCTGGCTCTGCTACATTTTAGCTGGGTGATCTTGGGCAGATAGCTTGCCCTCTCTGATGTTTGATCCCCCTAAACCCACCTGTCAAGTTTATTTGGAGGCTCTAATGAGGCAATGCACGGTGCTGGGCACAGAGTAGGCATCTTTTAAACGTTCCCATTTTCCTTTTCACCCTCTTGTTTATAGTTCCTTGGACTTAGTAGGCATTCAGTAGATGTGGAATGCATGAATTCAGTAGGCCACTATTTTTGGAGGACCTACCCTGTGCTGTGTGCTAGGCTTCCAAGGGTCAAGGGGGAGCAAGACAGATGTGATCCTGGCCCCGGTGGAACTTAAGGATTGTGGGGGAGACAGAGGCCCATCTGTTGGAAGGAGTATCAGAGGGTGAAACTTCTTGAGTGACAGGGGGTGGGGCAGGGGCCCCCAAGGAGGGGACTGTTGAGCCACAAGCCAAGAGAAGCTTGAGCATTCACGGGATAAGGGGAGATGAATGAAGTCATGCCACTTCTTTCAGCCTCCACCTTCCCACCTGTATAGTGAGATGCTGACACTATCTTGCCAGCTTGCTTTGAGGACTCAGTGACATTGCTGATGTGACCACGGTCTGTAAGCCATGACATTGCCTTGCTGGGTCCCCTCAGCAGAGGCCCTGCAAGTATCCAGGACTCCTCTTCCTTCCCTCTCTCCCCTCTGGAAGGCCCACCTCTTGCTTTTCTCTCCCCAGTGTCGGACAAGTGGTGAATATCAAGGCCAAGGTGAACCGGGCCTTCAATTCCAGCATGGAGGTGTGTGGGGTGGTTGCTGCCTGGCGGTGGGTGGGTGGGTGGCTGGGGTTTCTACCTCCTCTCCCTTCTCAGCCCCCTGGGCACACTCACACTCATGGGGCCCTGGTGGAGGCAGCAGGTTTCTGAAACAGCTGGCAGGGCTGGGAGGATCCTAAGGCTCTTCCTGTCTGATACCCAATAACACAGAAGGGAAAACTGAGGCCCACGGAGGGGAAGAGACTTGCCTCAGGTCACCAGGTCACATAAATTCCAACCTGAGACTTGACTTTCAGCCTCCTAGGTCTTCACACCTCCCCTCAGACCCTGTTCAGCAGCCAGGTAATCATGGGAAAGTGGGGAAGACAGCCACCAGGCCTGACCCTGGAGGCAGCAGGGCTGGAGCAGGGAGAGCCCTGGACGCCATTGCATTAGCTTACCTCCTGCAGCCTCTGTCTTCCCATCTGTGAAGTGGGAGCATGATTCCTGTGCTGTGGGGTTCTTAAGTGAGCTCTGTGAGTTCTGGGGGAGAGACTGTCTTTCCCACCTGTGGATGGCAGGTCTGGGCAGCTTCCCCTAGCCAGGCCACTGGTTACTGAGGGGCCACTGAGGACAGAGTCCTGATTGCCTCTGGGTACCCCAGACACCCCCCAGAGGCCTGTCTTTTCACTGTAGCCAAGATTTTACCACTTTAAGTGCTTTCCTAGATACAGTCTCATTTTCATTCTCTCCTAGGTATGCTCACTCCCATTTCTGTCATTCATTCATTCATTCACTCATTCACTCATTCATTCATATTTTAAGTAGGCTCCATGCCCAACGTGGGGCTTGAACTCACAACCCTGAGATTAAAAGTCTCATGCTCTACCAACTGAGCCAGCCAGGCACCTTGTGCTTACTCCCATTTTATAGATGAGGAAACCAAGGACCAGAGGACAGAAGTGACTTGCCCAAGGCTTTCCAGGGATCCAGGGGTAGAATCAGAACCTATCTCAGGTTTCTGGCTTTCGAGACTCAGTAGGTGATACAGAAATACAAGGCCGGGCCTGGGCCATCGAGTTGTGGAGCCTCAGGGTGGGAGCTCCATTTCCCCCCTCCTTACTCCTCCCGCCTTTTCTTCCCTTCCAGGTGGGCATCCAGGTGGCCTCTGAGGACCTGTGCTCTGAGAAGCAATGGACTGTGTGCAAGGCCTTGGCCACCTTTGTGGCCCATCGGGAGCTCTCCAAGGTAGGGCACTACACCTGGGTGCTTGTCGTGGCAGGCCAGGACTGGGGCTGTGAGGCTGGGTGTTGGCAGAGGCGTGGAGGAGGGGGCACTTCAGGGAATTCACAGAGAAAGCTTCCCCCAGCTGTGGCCAGACCCCAGGCACCTTCCCTCGTTCCTCTTCCCCACCTCTCCCTGTGCGTCTCACGTGGGAGTCTTCAGATCTCACCATTCCCTTACGTGTCCTATAGGACCTCCCACCCCCTGCATCCTCTGTGCCTTTGCCCAAGAAAGGGGACTGGGGACATTTGCAGGATGAAAGTGACAAATCAGCCAGCGTGGAGACAGGAGGACAGGGACAGAGAGGGGACGAAGACTTGTAACAATCTAGCAGCAGCCCCAGGTGTGTGATGGGGCACAGCCCTTCCTGCTGCTTCAGGAGATCTCTCCTGAGCATCACCCATGCTGTCCCCCGCCCACAGGTGAAGCTGAAGCAGACTACGCCATGCACAGAGGAGGAGAAAACAGAGCACAGTGTGGCTGCCGAGCGCCGGCGCATGCGGCTGCTGTATGCGGACACCATGAAGGACCTTCTGGCCAACTGCGTCATTCAGGACGGTGAGCAGTCGGGGGTGCGGAGGGCAGCTGGCATCCTGCGTGCCCCCCTCTGTCTTCAGTCCCCACTGGGCAAAGGGAGAAAGAGAGGCTCCTTGGGACGTCTACTCACTGGCCTGATGGCCCTCTTGTCTCAAGGTCTCCTTCAGGGAAGGGCGTGTTTGGGCATCTTGTTCAGTTCCCAGGAGCCGTGAGGATGGAATTAGGATGTGAGGAACCCTTTGTTATCCACGGATTGTATTTGGATCTTTAGGTTTCGGGGTGTTTGGGAAGGTACTACTGAGCATGGCTGAAGACTGTAGGATTTTTTAAAAAGCATATCTGTCTATCTATCCATCCATCTATCTGTCTGTATGCTTTATATATATAAAAATATATGCACGCACATATATATACATATAGATATATATACACACACATACATAAATAATATAGATGTAGATAAACATATAGAATAAAAAGCGAGACTCTCCTACACAGAAGCTGGGTCCTCTCTAGTTACTCATTTTGGGGCACCTTTCCAGAAGATTCCCTGCATACTTAAGCATACTATGTATTATTTATCCCTCTCTTTTTACCCAAAAGGGAACAGACAGTACATACTGTTCAGTGTCTTACTTCTTTCCCCTTAAGAGTACATCTTGGAGATTGTTCTATACCAGCACATAAAGATCTCTTGTGGAGTGGTAGGATTTTAACAGATGGAGAGACAAGGAAAGGTTTTCCTGACGGAGAGCACAGGCTGGGCAAAGGCCCAGGGGGGTAACCTTGGATTCACTCACTGATCTCCAGAGCAGTAGGATGTGGAGTCTTCCTTGAACCCTAGACAAGGCAACTGTAGGACAATTCAAATGTAGTTCAGCGGCCCAGAGTGGGAGAGAGCAGGTGCGAGCAGTTGGCCCCATAAAGCAGAGAGAGGGGCTCCCAGTTCCACGTGCCTTATGTATGTGGGGTCTGGGGGCTGTGGCTGGGGAGGCCTGGCTCTTCCTACTGTCTTTGAGACCCCCCTAGAGCTATCCATCCACTGCAGCCCTCCCAAACCCCTCTTGTCCTGACAGCCTCTCTACCCCAGGGTTAGTCCAGATGCCTTAGTGCGACATCCAGGCCCTGGGCTGGCCATTCAGCTTGACCTGGTGCTGACCTATTATTTGCCCTCGGCTCCATCTAAGCCAAGGCTTCATTGCTTCCTATGACTGTCCTACCTGTCCTGTCTCCAGATCTCAGCTCAGGTCCCCTTCCACCTCCCCTTGTGCCTGTCTGTGGCATCTCGGAGCAGCCTGCCAGTGAACGGCCACCTCTTTGATGGGCTGTCCCTGACGAGGTCTCTCTTCCTGGTTGATGGGAGATGCACGGCTCCCCCTTGGGTTGGAGGGTGGGTCATATCAGCATCTGCTCCTCTGACCCCCAAGGCCCTGCCTGCTCTTGGGCCTCTCCTACTGAGGATCTCCCGATGCCATTGCCCCTGACGGACAGGGCCTGTCAGGGCAGAGGGAGGGAAGAACTATCCTTCTGAGAGTCTGTCTCCTGAGTTTGGTGCCAAGCACTCTGGAATCACTATCTCACTTCATCTTCACAAACCTCGTGGGTTGGGTCTGACATACCCCTTCACCAATGATGAAACTGAGGGTCAGAGAGGTTCCCTGACTTGTCCAAGTTGTGTCCAGGTGTGTCTTCTCTACAAGTGGGTGTCCTGCCCCCTGCCCTTCGACGACCTCACCTCCCTCATCCTGAGCCCTCCTGTTCCTCAGCTGAGGCCGGCGCTCTCGGTGCTTAGTCGATACAAGACTCTGGGTGACTGGAAGTGCTGGTGGCAGGGGTCCCCGGGTTTGCCCTGTGGGAGGGTCTGCCCTTGAGAACCTTTCCCCTTCCCACTCTCTCCCTCTGCCCTTCCTGGGTCAGATCTGGAGAGTAGAGACTGCAGCTGCACGGTACCGGCAGAAAAAACCCGTGTGGAAAGCGTGGAGCTGGTCCTGCCCCCCCATGCCAATCACCAAGGCAATACCTTTGGGGGCCAGATCATGGCCTGGATGGAGAACGTGGCCACCATCGCAGCCAGGTGAGGAGAGAGAGCGCTGCCTCTGCCTCCCCTCCTTTCTCTCCCTCCTTCCCTTGGCTGGCTCCCTCTAGGGGGAGAAACCCCAGCTTGGAGTTGGCATTCAAGGCTTCGGGAGCTTGGCTGTTCTGTCAGGGGAAACCTAGGGCTTTGAGAGCCAGAGTGGAGTGATTTTTCTGTGAGCTGGCCGTCCCCTCCTCCACACGGTCCTCATCACCTGCGTGGGAAATGCCATGCCCCTGGCCCAGCGCTAGGGCCTCCTCTTGGCTGGGTCCTGCCTGCTTTCTTCCAGTATTTTATGCTCGCTGCACCTGAAGCCATCTGCCCTTCCCTGTTCCCATTCTCCGCGTTCCCATCCTCTGCCTTTGCTCCTGGCCACTTCCTCTCCTTTTGATCTGCTAAAATCCACGAAGCCTCTTTAACTGTTCCCTTTTCCCTAGAGGTGAAAACAATTCCTTCCTTCTTCTAGAATCTCTGCCCTTGTCCGGGGTTTGTTCTCTAAATATGGGGGTATTTTTTTATAGCTATGGTAACTGACACTCACTGCCTGACCCTCCTGCCTCTAGGGCTTTGTGTTTCTGTTCCCTCTGCCGGGAGTGCGCTCTACCCCAGGGTTAGTCCAGATGTTAGTTAGGTTAGTTAGGTTAGTCTGGATGCCTTAGTGTGGCATCCGGGCCCTGGGCTGGCCATTCAGCTTGACCTGGTGCTGACCTTTTACTTGCCCTCAGCTCCACTTAAGCCAAGACCTCATTGCTTCCTGTGACTGTCCTACCAGTCCTGTCTCATCCTATCCTCTCCCAGGAGTGCCCTCCTCAACCCACATCTTCCTGAGCCAGAGGAATTATTCCTCACCTCTAAAGAGCCTGGCCCACACGGCCCCTCCCCTGTATTGACCCCCTGGGACCCAGTGTACAAACAATGCCATTTTGGGCAGACCCACCTGCGTGTGCGTGTACGGTAAGCTCTCAGAGGAGGGTCACAGCCCAGATAGTCAGGGAACCCTTCCTGGAGAAAGCTCTTCAGCTGAGCCTTGAATGACAAGTAGCTTTGGGTAAGGGGAGGGCTTCTAGATAGTAGAAGCAGCTGGTGCTGGGGTGTAAAGGTTGGGGAACAATGGGGAAGGAATTAGCCCCAAGCCCTGTCCTTTCATCTTCCACCTCAAGCTCAGCTGCTTGCTAGTGCTGCATAGACCTGAGTGTTCTAAGCTGCAAAATGGGACTTTAGTTCTATTCCCCTGGGCAGAAGCATCCCAGGTTGGGTGGGAGTGGGTGGACCAGAGGGCAGTGCATGTGGGCTGGGTCTGTGGCTGGGGGTAGGGGGAAAGGTTGGCCCAGGCCTGTGGCTAAAGCACTGGGGCGTTTGTCCTGTCTCCCCAACCCTGGCCTCCTCCAGCCGGCTGTGCCGTGCCCACCCTACGCTGAAGGCCATTGAGATGTTCCACTTCCGGGGCCCCTCCCAGGTTGGGGACCGCCTGGTGCTCAAGGCCATCGTGAACAACGCCTTCAAGCATAGGTAAGGAGTGGGACCAGGGCCCCTTGGGATTGAGGGCTCTTTTGGACCTAGTCGCAAAGCTGCCAATGCCGCAGATAAAAGGCCCATGAAGTCTAAAGCCTGCCCAGCAGCAGGGCACCCTCACCATGACCGAGATGCAGCTCTGCTGTTCCCTGCTCTGGGCTCTCCAGCCCTGTGGCTCCTGGGGTCTCCAGTCATTCCCTATGCTCCTTGTGTCTCTGTTTCTCTTCCTGGCTCCTGCCTCTGGGCTGTGCTCACATCATAGGGCCCTCTCTTGCCAGTGTTCTGTCATTTATCAAGTCTTTCCATACCTTTCTCCTAAAACAATAATTCCTTCCCAGAGTCCTTAATTTGGAATGAATCAGATACTTCTGAGAAAGCTTACTTTAAATATGTATCTTTGTTGATTTCAAAGATCATAATGGAGTTGTTAAAAGTGAGGGAACAATGGGACACCTGGGTGGCTCAGTCCACTTAGCATCTGTCTTCAGCTCAGGTCATGATCCAGGGTCCTGGGATCGAGCCCCACATCAGGCTTCCTGCTCAGGGGGGAGTCTGCTTCTCCCTTTCCCTCTGCCCTTCTGCGTTCATGCTGTCAAATAAATAAAGTCTTAAAAAAAAAAAAAAGTGAGGGAGCCAGGCTCCCTGGGTTTAAGTTTGGCTTACCTTTTATTGGCTGTGTGGCTTTAGGCAAGTTATTCAACATCCCTGAGTTTCAGTTCTTTTTTTTTTTTTTTTTTTTTAACATTTATGCTGTTTGTTTGTTTGTTTATTCATTTATTTCAGGGAGAGAGAGAGCCTGAAGAACAGGGTTGGAGGGGGTGGGGTGGGGGTGGGGTCTGGGGAGGACCAGAGGCAGACGGAGAAAGAATCACAAGCAGGCTCTGTGCTCAGTGTTCAGTCCCACACAGGAAACCACCCCACGGTCCTGAGATCATGACCTGAGCCGAAATCAAGAGTCAGACGCTCACCCGTCTGAGCCACCCAGGCGCCCCACTTCAGCTTCAGTTCTTTGGCCTGTGAAATGAGGCTCAGCATGATGACATTGCGGTTGTGAGGGTTCAGTACGGTCTAACTGGCACATTGACAGGAACCGTGCTGGGCAGCATTATCACTGTTCTGGCCATTCCTCACGGTCTGACCCACACACGGTCTGCAGCTGTGGTGGGGGAGGGGTGGTGGAGGGAGCAGGGGTGGGGTGGGGTGGGGGGGTGGGGGAGTGGGTGGGTTGGGGTGGGGAGCCCTGAACTAGCAACTGCAAGTGCAGCCCAGCTTCCCTTCCTGGCTGCTGTGGGACCTTGGCCCAGTGACTGTCCTGTCCTAGGTCCTGGTTCACCCTCTGCATAACATCCACATGCTGGGATCATCAAGCTTCCTGAGAGGGGGGCACAGGGGTGGCTGCTTTTTATAAGCCATGAAACAGCAGTGAGTTAGCTGTCGGGAGCACAGCTGTTAGGGCCCTCGTGAAGGTGTGTGTAGGGAGCATTATTTCCAAGTAGGAAAAAGTACTCACGTCCTTCCAGAATCCTTTGCAGTTTACATGTGTTTTATATACATGATATGTACATATCTACGTATATGTGTGTACGTGTTATATACATTTATTCCATTACATAGTATATATACATAGACACGTACATACATGTGTGTATATACTTGCTTAGTGCCCTGTTCCCCAGCTGTTAGCACATGAGCACACGGACCGAACCAGTGTATTCCTTTCTGGGGCCCCAGTGACTAGCCTAGGGCCAGGCCTGTAGTAGGTGCTCTGTAAACAGTGATGGAAGGGAACAGTTCTGGGTTTCCTACCAGAGGGATTCTGATCTGGGCTGCTGGGAGAGCCGCAGGAGTGTGTGTGTGCACACATGCACGTGTGTGTGTTGGGGAGGGGGCATGCGCTCAGGAAGGTGGGTCCAGCATGGAAGCGGCCTTCCTTCCCCTTCAGCATGGAGGTGGGCGTGTGCGTGGAAGCTTACCGCCAGGAGGCTGAGAGCCATCGGCGGCACATCAACAGTGCCTTCATGACCTTCGTGGTCCTGGACGCGGATGACCAGCCTCGGACACTGCCCTGGATTCGTCCCCAGCCGGGGGTGAGTGGCACCCTGCCCCACCACCAGTTCCCCTCCCCTCCCTCTCTGCCCAAGGGTGGTGGGGCCTGCTAGCCCCTGATGTAGCCGGAAAGTGATGGGCTCAGCCCTGCCCCTCTGCGGGGGCACAGCCAGCTTGCCCCATGACCCACAGAGACGCCCCTTGTGCAAGGCAGGCACCCTGGTCTGCCTGCAAGAACAGGGCGCCGTGGATGGGCCTAGCTCAGTTAGGTGTTAGCAGGCATTCAGCGAGCCTGCAGAGTCAGAGGAGCGCTGGCTTTGGGGTCAGATGTGAGTTGGAAGCCCTCTCTGCCGTGTTCTAGTGGGCGCCCTCTGTCAGTTTCCAGTCTCCGCCCATACAGCAGGTGTGTCTGCACTCCTGCCTCCCGGGGATGTGGGGGGTATCTGAGGGGCGCTGAGCCCCATAGGTACTCAGTAAATGGTGACCATTATGAGGAGGTGACAGGAGAGCAAGAAGCATAGAGACCAGAGTCAGGGGCTTGGGTTCAAAGCCCGTCTCTTAAAAAATGCCGTCTTGGATCTCCTGGGGCTTCCCTCTGGGGGTGCCGAGGGGTGACCTTGGAGAGGCATTCCCTCTCTCCAGGATGGTCCTCCACCCTGCCTACCTCACAGGGCCAAGCATTGGCTGTGAAAGACCCCCACTCCACAGCTGGGCTTCTGCGGGGGAGGGGTGGAGGAGGGGTGGCGAATAGTTCACAGGCACTCTCAGCTTGGGCCAGGTAATGCTCATGAGTGGGGAGACACCAGAAGCAGTAGTTAAGAGGCTGGACTCCAGGTCAGGCTGTCAGGGTTCCGTTCCTGGCCCCACTCCTTACATCTACAACCTTGGGTAAGCCACCCACCTTTCTGTGCCTCAGTTTCCTCCTCTGCAAAATGAGGGTAAGATGAATACCAACTTGAGAGGGCTGTGGCGAGGCTTGACACCTGCACGGAAGGCGCTTCAGAAGCGTGCCGGGTAGCAGCAGATGCCCAGGAAGCGTGGGTTCTTACTAGCACTGTCTGTGCCCTTTGCGATCCCCTTGTGGAGAGGAGGATGTTGAGGCCCAGCGAGTGCAGGTGGTGCTCCCAGAGTCACTCAGAGAGTCTGGGGGAAGCAGGGGCTGCAGCTCAGAGACTCAGGCCTTTCCTGTCCAGGTTGCTTTGCCTTGGGCTGCCCCCGTGAGACCCGAGCTCCACGTCAGGGCTGCAGGGCCTCCTCATGCCTTGGGGGGCAACAGTAATGTGGGTGCTCGCCCGGCCCGCAGCACAGTCTGTCCCTGCGTCTCTCCCCAGGATGGCGAGCGGCGCTATCGAGAGGCTAGCGCCAGGAAGAAGATCCGGCTGGACAGGTGAGTGTAGGTGGTGGGAGGGGACACAGGTTCAGGGCTGTCCGCCTGCTCCGTGGGCCCCAGGGACTGGCATTTCTTCAGTGCCGCCCCTGTGCTAGGCACTGGGCTGGGGCCTTTACGTCCACACAGCCTTACTAGCCAGTGGTCTTCCTGACCCAATGTCTGGGCGAGGACACTGAGCAGAGGGATTAGGCGGCCATGGGTATACAGATGGGAATGATGGGCGGAGTGAGACTTTGATCCTGGCAGGGTCTGGCCACTTCTGAATCCTGGGTTCCTTCCCTTGACCGCGATGAGTGTTGGGTAGGTCCTGAGAACAGAGGCAGTTGCTCAAGACGCACAGCCTGGTGTGGCCCATGGCTGCTGAAGCACTTTCCACGCTGGAAAGTGCTGGAAATATGCTGGGGTTTGCCATCTGTGTGGACAGGAGAAGTGTGAATCTACAGATCACTTACCATAGGCCGACCCTCCCCACCATGATGACCCTATGAGACAGGTGCAATGCCCAGCCCCACTGTACGGAGGAGCCCACTGAGGCACGAGGGCAAAGCTGCTTCAGCCAAGGCCATCTGCTCTGCGAGGGCATGGGAAACGAGCCTTCCCCCAGCACCCTGCCCCTGGCTTCACTCTGCTTCTGGATGAGTTCGTATGCTCTCAGCTCCCATTTTCTGGGTGCCCAGCCTGTTTACGTGGCTGGACAGGAGTCCCCTGCTGCAGGGCTGAGCACTGGAAGCGAAGTCTTCTGAAAGACGTGGGCTCCCCAGGGACCATGGTGGTTCTCTTCCCTCTCCCAGGAAGTACATCGTATCCTGTAAACAGGCAGAAATGCCCCTCTCTGTCCCCTGGGACCCTAGCAACCAGGTAAGGCCTCTGCTCTGAGGGGACAGTCCACAGGCCCGTGTTGGGGGTGGGGGGGGTCACTGATTCTCTGTTCTTGTCAGAATGGGTTTGAAAGTAGGCCTGAGGGGGACAGGATACCATGTCATGACTCAAGATTGGTGCAGTTAGCAAAGGGCTTTCCTCTGTCCCCGTTTGGCAGGAGGGAGCTGAGGCCCTGAGAAGAGGGTCACACAGTGAATCTGCCCAAGGCTGGGCCTCCTATCCCGAGGCCCAGGGCCTGGTACCCACCCCCGCTTCTCACCCCTTCACTGCCCAATGTCCCCTCCTGGCCCAGAGCCCCCACAGAAGGGGAGAAGGTGAAGCTTCTCTGTGTGCTCTGTCCAGGTCTACCTGAGCTACAACAACGTCTCCTCCCTGAAGATGCTGGTGGCCAAGGACAACTGGGTGCTGTCTTCTGAGATCAACCAGGTAGCTGGCCCCACCCACCAGATGGCTGACCTTAAGCAACAGAACTTCTCTCAAACCACTCATGTCCAAGGGGGATTTCTTTCTTTCTTTCTTTCTTTTTTTTAATATTTAATTTATTTATTTGAGAGAGAGAGTAGGGCAAGAGAGAGTACACAAGTGGGGGAGGGGGCAGAGGGAGAGGGAGAAGCAGACTCCCTGCTGAGCAGGGAGCCCAATGCAGGGCTCAATCCCAGGACCCCGAGGTCATGACCTGACCTGAAGGCAGATGCTCAACCGACATTTATTTATTTATTTATTTATTTGAGAGGGAGAGAATGAGAGAGAGAGCACAAGAGGGGGAGGGTCAGAGGGAGAAGCAGACTCCCCACTGAGCAGGGAGCCCAAATGTGGGACTCGATCCCGGGACTCCAGGATCATGACCTGAGCCGAAGGCAGTCCCTCAACCAACCGAGCCACTTAGGCACCCCTTAACCGACCTTCTTAAAAGGAATTGGTTTCTCCCATGAAACTATCCCAGTTAGAGAAACACGGTGCTCTCACAGTACCTGGAGTGGAGAACCCCCAAATCTTTCTCTCCTGCCCACCCACCATCTAGCCCCCAACCCCTCATCTCTGCTATTCTCTGCCCTGCTGCTTCCTCCCTCTCTCTGCTCCTTCCTCCCTGCGCAGATAGGGCCAGTGGACAAGCCTGGGTTGAGGGAAGACATGAGCTCTGCCTGTGCCCTGAGGAGAGTCACTGCCCCTCATCTGTGACGTTAGGGTCTTCACCAGGTGCCTGGCTCTGAGGACCCTTTCTGTTGTTGCCTTAGTCACTGCTTCCTAATACACCCTCCTGTCCACCTGTGCCAGATTCTCCCAGCGGCCCATTTCCATGGGGATGAGCCTGAGGCTCAGAGAGGTTGAATAGCTTTCTCACAGTCACACAGCAAGTCAGTGGCAGCCCTGAGCTTCCAGCCCCGGCCTCCAGCCTGGAGTCAGCTCACCCCATGGCCCAGCATAGCCTGGGGAGGAGGTGTGGGACCGAGGCTGCCCTCTGTCCCATACAGGTCCGCCTGTACACTCTGGAGGAAGACAAGTTCCTGTCCTTTCACATGGAGATGTTGGTGCATGTGGATGCCACCCAGGCCTTCTTGCTGCTCTCGGACCTGCTTCGGAGGCCCGAGTGGGACAAGCACTACCGGTGAGGGCTGAGGTGCGGGTGGGGTAGTGCGCTCCGCTCAGGCCTGATGGGGAAGCGGGGCCCTCCGGTGTCCCTTGCTGAGCCGTCCTCCCTGACGCTCAGCCCCTGCTGGCTTTTAGCGGGGCGTGGGGGTGGCGGTGTGAGGGGAAGTGCAGTTACGTGGGCGGGTGTCAGAGTTGAGGGCATTCTGAGCCCTCCGGAGGGACTGAGCCTGAACTGGAGTTGGAGGCCTGGGTTTAGGTCCTGTTTCTGGACCAACCGGCTCTGTGACCTTGGGCAAGTCCCTTCCTTTCTAGGCCTCAGTTTTCCTCCTCTTAACATGGGTACTTGAGGTGTGGGTCATGCATTTACACTCTGGGATAGATCAGTGATTTTCTTTATTATTTTTTTTTAATTTCCCCTTTTTCTTTTTTTGTCTTTTAAATTTCCGTGTTTGGTTTTTCTTTTTATTTATTTATTTGAAAGAGAGAGAGCATGCGCACAAGTGCACGCATGCGCACACGGGGGGCGGAGGGGCAGAGCAGAGGGAGAAGCAGGGAGGCTGCTGTGGGGCTCGATCCCAGGACCTGATCATGACCTGAGCTGAAGGCAGACGCTCAACCAGCTGAGCCACCCAGGTGCTCCTAGATCAGTGATTTTTAGACCATGTTCTGTGGCATTCTGTATCCCCATAGGAGGCTCGGGACCACTTGGTGGGGGTTAGAATGCTGAGGGGGCTGGTGGCCCCCTCCCAGCTTCAGGGGAAGGCATGGAACGGCCAGTTTGATGAATTCACCCAGTCTGCCAGCTCTTCTTAGGGAAATGTGCACGTATTTGTTATTTTTGAATGTAGTGAGTTACTGAATATAAATGTTACTCCTATGAATACATTTGTTCCCCGAATTTACTGATTCTCCATGTGAATATTTTCTTCCTGAATTTAGCCAAGGAAGATAAAGCTGTTCTTAGGAAAACAGCCAAAATTTCAGTATTTAATATGAGAATGTTAAAGTTGAAATTGGTATTTTTCCCAGTTCCCTTAAAGTCATTTTCTGTTGTGCCAACACCTTACTTTGGTCATTTCTCCTGTGGCTGCTCTACGAGGCGCCTGCGTTCCCAAGTCAGTCCGTGAGGAGGATCCGTGCATGTGGGAATTCAGTGAGCAGGTTGTCTGGCAAGTTGAGTTTTGGCAAATTGCCTTCCCCTTCCTACCTCCATCTATCTTACCAGAGCAGGCCTACTTGAGGCTGTTTCGACACAGGCTTTCTGTTTAATCAAAAGTTTTGGTGCACAAAAGACCATTGCTTTAAAAAGCCTAAGTCAGGGGTGCCTGGGTGGTTTGGTCCGTTAAGTGGCTGCCTTTGGCTCAGGTCGTGATCCCAGGGTCCTGGGATGGAGCCCTCTCCCACCATCAGGCTCTCTGCTCAGCAAGGAGCCTGCTTCTCCCTCTTCCTCTGCCCCTCCCTGGCTTGTTCATGTGTGCATGTGTGTGTGCACGCGGGCACATGCTTTCTCTCAACTAAATGAATAAAATCTTTAAAAAACAAAAAAATAAAAAGCCCTGGTCTAGGTGACCCCAAGCCTGTTAGTAGTGACATTCTACAAAGCTGGGAGGTGATTTGGTGGTGGATGTTGGGGGCATTGGGCCTATGGTAGGAAGGCCTCTTGGAGGAGGCAGGCTGATGTGGGCCTTAAAGGCAAAATCAGATCTTGATACTTGATGGGACTGGGGCAGGAGAGTGTCCTAAGGGGAAAGGGAGCCCTTAGCTGCTTCCCTCTACCCTGCCCATAGCACCCTGTTCATGAGGCAGCCTCTGAGGGAGGGTGAGAGAGCAGGGGAGGAGGTGGTAGGGTCAGACATGGTCATGTATGTTTCTGTGTGTGTGTGTGTATTGGTGTAACCCTATGTGTGTATACCTGGACCCACGTGCAGTATGCCTGGGCCTGAGGGGATGTGGCTGTGGGCAGGCTATTTGCCTGAGTCTCAGGCCCTTGTCTATACAATGGGGACAGCAAGAGGACCTATTGCGTCAGCTGCTGTGGGGTTAAATGAGACAGTACATGGAAAGCACCACGAACAGTGTCACATGGCAGGCACTCATAACCAGGACACTGTCACACGTCTGTGCAGGGCCGTGTGCGCACTGGCAGGACCTGTGTCTGTGCATGCTCATGGGCGTGCCTTTATCTGTGCATATCTTTGTTCCCATGTCTGTTTGCATTTGCCTGCGTACCTGTGTGTATGTGTTCACACGTGCTTGGCCTGACCTTCCTGCCCTCCTGTGGCCCCTGCTGAGCAGTGTAGGCGGTCAAGTGTCCCCCCAGACTCTGCTCAAGAAGGCTGAAGCAGGGGCACCTGGGTGGCTCAGTGGGTTAAGCCTCTGCCTTTGGCTCAGGTCATGATCCCAGGGTCCTGGGATCAAGCCCCACATTGGGCTCTCTGCTCAGCGGGGAGCCTGCTTCCTCCTCTCTCTCTCTGCCTGCCTCTCCCCCTTCTTGCGATCTCTGTCAAATAAAAATTAAAAAAACAAAGAAGGCTGAAGCATGGGAGGGCCTGGGCTGGACTGGCTTGTCCCAGGAGCAGCCAGTGTGACTCTCGAGTCCTGACCTCTGGGCCTCCCTATAGGAACGTGGAGCTCGTGCAGCAGGTGGACGAGGACGACGCCATCTACCATGTCATCAGCCCTGTCCTCGGCGGCGATGCCAAGCCCCAGGACTTTGTGATCCTGGCCTCTCGGCGGAAGCCTTGTGACAATGGGTGGGTGCCAGACTGCTGAGGCCGGTGGCGCGCAGGGCTCATCTCCCTCCCTGGGAGGGGGTAGCAGCTTGAACTCAGGGCTCTTCCTGTTTGCTGTGGGACTCCAGGCACTGCTTGGCTTGTTGGGGCTGCCGGGGTCTTGCTATGGGTAAAATGAGGGGTTGCAGCTCCCTTCTGGTTACATGTGCTCTAAGGCAGGGTGGTCTCTGTCCCTAGGGGAGAGGGGGGCGAGGCTGCCTTTCCCCAGACATGGCAGGCCCTTGCTCATGGGCCACCTCCTTGGCCTCCACCCTCTGAAGGCCCCATGTTGACTAAAGAGGGGCAAGGCCAGGACGCACAGCATCACTTCTGTTGGGGACAAGCACAGAAAAATGAAGCGTGAAATCCCAAAGTGTGGGACTCCTTTGAGCATCTGTAGTGGAGCAGCTTTTCCAGAAAAATCTGTGATGAAGCCATGCTGGCTCCTGGCAAATACGGGGCTGCTGACACACAGGCCCTTCCCTCCTCTTTAGCCTGGCCCAGAGCCCCTGTCGGGCCTTTTAAGAGTTTCTGTGCCTCAGCCTCTGGTGGAGTCCTCTGTGTGGAGGGGGCTTTGGCGCCTGAGCTGGGGGAACAGGCCCTCACCTCCTCCATCCTGGCTCTGCTCCAGGGACCCCTACATCATCGCACTGAGGTCAGTTACACTGCCTACACACCCTGAGACGCCAGCATACAGGCGCGGGGAGACCCTCTGCTCCGGTTTCTGCTTCTGGCGAGAGGGGGACCAGCTGACCAAGGTGAGGCCCGTGTCCCCAAACCCCAGATCCTTCCCCAAGGCCACATGCCTATCCAGAGCTTGGTGCTGTGGGCTCAGTCAATTGCATACCTGGGCCCCACCTGCAGGCTCTTTTCTAGCTTTGGGGAGCCGAGGAGTGTCAGGGGCTGAATCTAATCGGTGAGGAGAAAGACAGCAGGGTCTCCAAAACAGCCCTGGATGCCGAGGGCAGAGGCCTGGGTTTCTGATCTAAAATTCATCTCATTATTTACTTGTATACCTCTCTTTTGTCTAGGAAGACTTTATATGGCTCTCAGGGCCAATAAAACTCAGCAAGGCAGTTAGCGCTAATTGAAAATATGGGGGAGGCGTCTGAGGGCCAGTGTGTGTGGGAGGGCAGCACCCAGGTGGGGACGTTGGTGTTTGCTACCTTTATACATGTAACCTGAGGGGCTTCTCGGCACCATCCCTGGGCTTATTTCTAACTTCCTTCCATGACCCTAGAGCAACATTTCTCTGTGCAGGGCTTGGGAGACCCCTTCCCTGTCCTCCAGAACCTCCCCCATCTGACAAAGGGGGCACAGGTTGGCAGTACCGTGTATGGTGACTGAAGGAAGCAGGGTTGTCAGCCACCAGGGTCACACCACTTCATCCCCTAGAGCCCCATAGTGTTGGCCCGGATTTGCTGCCCTCCCCACCCCCTCCCCCGTCCCCCTCCCTGAATGTGGCTTCCTTCCTACCTGGCAGGTGTCCTACTACAACCAGGCAACCCCAGGCTTTCTCAACTATGTGACCACCAATGTGGCTGGTCTCTCCTCGGAGTTCTACACCACCTTCAAGGCCTGTGAGCAGTTCCTGTTGGACAACCGGAGTGATCTGGCCCCCAGCCTCCAGACCCTCTAGCCCCTGCCCCACAGTGGCCACCGCATGCCCACTCCCCCTCCATCCTGCTGCCCGTAGGGACACATTGGCAGTGCATCGAGGAAGACAGGAGCATTTATTCCTTGCTGCCTCCGCCGTGGAAAGCCTGGACCCAGGCGACCGCCGGCCCAGCCCCCGCAGGCGCTCAGTTCCTGCCAGCATCTGCCAGCAAGTCTTCGCGGTCCCTCTGAGGCAGCCTGTAGTAGACTCGGGTCCTGTCCACAGCCCTGGCAGCCAGCAGCACCTCCCGCACTGGTGCATAGCCGCCCCCCTCAGAGCTGTGCTCCACTGTGACAGTGGCCTGGGGCGAGGCTGCCAGCAGCCTGGCCACCACCCCAGCCGTGTCCCGGCCCAGTAGCCCAGCCTGCAGCTGGAAGGACACAGGCTGCCAGAGACCCTGGCACAGGCCCAGCATATCTGCAAGCAGCTGTTCCCCGTAGCCACTGCCCAGCGCCTCCTCAGGCCAGCCTGGTGCCACTGTCACGTGGGGGAACACCTCTGCCACGGCTGTCAGCAGCTCCCTGCCAGCCACGTGGCCAGGGACCACAAAGCTGCCGTGGGAGACTGTGGCCCCAATCCACACAGGCCGCAGCAGGTGGCCATGAGCAGAAAGGTGGGCCAGTGTGGTCAGGGCCGGCCGGAGGGCCAAAGGCTCGGCTATGCGCAGGTGGATACCCCAGCGTCCAGGCCGCCCAGCGAGTTGTAGCAGGCAGGACTCCAGCGTCAGGACAGGACCTCCTGGGGCACGCACCATGGCCACGGTGTCCTTGGCTGCAGGTCCCTGGAGGCCAACGTTTAGCAGGATCATGCCTTCTCTGTCTGAAAGGGGTGGTGGAGACAACGGTGTCAGGAGTTGGGGTGATGGGGGGTATCCAGGGGTGGTAATGGGGGCAGCCAAGGAGAAGCTGGTGCCCTATCCGCTGAGATCTGTCGATGATGGTCTGAGCTCCAAGTGGAAGGCTGCTTTATAAATGTGCCTGGGACTCATCAGAATGACATGATCGGCAGCTAGCTCGGCTCTGGGCCTTTGACTGGGACTCAGTCCTAAGGCCGTGGCCTGCCTCTTCCACAGCAGATAGGGCTCAAGGGCACTGAAGGTTAGGGCCCCGGGCTCTCCTCCACCATGACATCTAGCACACCGCCACGGTCACAGAGGCCTTAGATTCCTGCCCCATACAAAAGGACAGCCCCCCACCCCCACCCCCCGCCGCCGCCAAGCTACCTAGTTTAGCTAGGAGCACAGGGGCTCAGGGGCTGAAGGCAGGCCTTACCTGGGAGGCTGACTGTTGCTGTTCTCCTGTTGCCCTGGAGGTCAGGAACCAGCCATTCCACACTCAGACCGTCCCCACCAGGGGGCTGGAGGAGAGGGATCAGGCTGCCTCCCGTGTAGTAAATTCGCTTCCGTGTGGCATTCGCTGCGGGGCCCCAAATTGTCAAGATGAAAGTGCCACCGTTCCCAGAGCACCTTCTCTGCGCCCTATGTCTACACACATTCTCTCCCTGCCTCAAGGCACCCCACCAGGCACACATCATCCCATCAGAGATTACAAGGAGGGGCTGGCCAAGGTCCCACAGCCGAACAACAAAGTTGCTGGGGTTGGAGCCTGATGGAACCAAGTCTGCCCAGCCCCAAAGATGGAACTCCCCGTCCCCACACCAACATGGGTCCCATGGCAGGAATGTTGAGTCTCGTGGGTTCCCTGGGAGATAGTTTAACTGGTGGCTCTCCTAGGTCCAGGGTCAAGGGAATAAGGGGTTTGGACAGTTAACAGGTAGCATCTGGGTCACTGATTAGTAGGTACATTGGTGCAGAGGGGGCAGGCTCTGAGAAACTATGCTGCAAGGGAAAAGTACACGGGGTTTGGGATTTGCTGGGTTCCCATCTAGGCTGTGCTGTGTACAGCAAATGACTTGGTGCAGATTACTTAAGTGGTCTGAAGGTCAGTTTCTCTCTCTCTAGAATGGAATCACTGCTTCCTGGATATCTGAGGCTGACACAGCACACCATACCCACGTTTGGCCTACAATACGTGCTTAGAGTCCACCCAGAATTTTCCCTTCTCTAGCTCTGCTCTACTCTCCACCAAATGCTGTCCTGTGCAAAATTCAGGCCCCTACCCTCCCTGGCTGCTCCACGCCCCTCCCTACCGGCCAGCTGCTTGAACTGCGACAGGACAGGCTCAAAGAGGTCATAGTAGACTTGGTGGGGTGCGGTGTTGTCTCGGATGTAGAGGAGATCATCCACTGACACGGGGTCCAAGGCACCCTGCCACAGCGTCAGGCTGTACCTGGGGCCCAGAGAGCCAGCTCAGCTCCCGCCTGGGCCCAGCAAGGTCTTCATCCCAGAGCAGCACCCTAGCTGCGCAGGGATGAGAGTAGCTGGCCTCCAGCTTCCCACCAGCCCCTCCTCCCTGAGAATTGCTCCTGCCTTCCCAGGGGCAGAAGTCGTCACAGGGGCTTCAGGAAGGGAGAGAGAAAGATTGAGCAGGAGGGGCTGCCCCATCCTGCCTCCTCCCTGGGAGTGTCTATTTCTGGTCCTGTCTTAGGAATGGGACAAGGATAGACAGGGATGGGTACAGGCTGTGGGGGAGAACAGGTGTGGAGGGGGAAGGAGACAGCTCTGGAACTCCTGTGGGAGGTGGGCGAGGAAGGTGGGACTAGGCAGCTGGGTGCAGACCGCACGAGTACATATGGGAGTCCCTCAATCCCTAGAGGATGATCCTGGGCACAGCCGGCTCCCAGGGAGGAAGACTGGCCACTAGGTCAAGCTATCCACCAATGGACTGGCTGCTTCGGATGATAGAAGCCCATCACCAGAGGTATACAAGCAGAGAGCAGGGATGCTGCAGAGGATGCAAACACCAGTGGGTGTTGGACAGATGTGGTTAAGGGGGTGGGATCTCCCTAGGGGGCACTGGTGCCCAGGGGCAGGTTTGGCAGATTAGGGGCTGTGGCAGGGGCCTAGGAGTTTTCACCTCTTGGATTGGCCCAGCAGCCAGCTGAAGTGGGGCCAGGCAGCCCGTACCATGACAGCCCGCACGGGAAAAGTGACCCTCTGTGGCAGTGCGCCCACCAGTCCCTGCATCCTCTCCACCATGGCTCGGGTGTATGTCATGTTCGGGAACACGGGCACATATAAGGTGGTCCAGCCTGGAGACAGAGTGGCCTCAGGATACTTCTCCTGGACCAAGGCCAAGAACCTGCAGAAAATCAGAGACACTGGTCTTTGAGAGCTTTGCTGTCCCCTTCCTCATCTCCTGGGTTCCCATCACTGGGCTAGGAAGTGGAAGTCCTATGGAATGTAGAGTGTAAGGACAGAAGCTAAGTCCTGAAGAACAGAAGTGACTTATTCAGGTCTTACGAATGAGGCATGGACTTTGGAGTCAGGGGGTTCTGGGTTCAGGTCCTGACTCTATAACCTTGGGCAGTTTAGCTCATTCAACCTCTTTTAGTCTCAAAGATGTTACCCCTTCTGGTAGGGCAGGGCCCCTTCAGCATCCCCAGCTGGACAAGAGGAGACAAGCCAGAGCCCCAGATGTGGCTTTCTAGACTCTGCTACTTGTCTCTGAAGGCTCAGGTTTTATTTTTAAATCCCATGTAAATTTTTCCCTGGTAGGAATTTTAGTGGAGCAATAATGTTACCCTCTCCTCCCCAAACTATCGAGTAGAATCAACACTCCAAGAAGATGAGCCATTATTTATCCTGGGCCACTGACTACATTTTTCCAACTGCTGCTTTCCAAATGCACCTCAGTTTGAGAATCATAGTACTGGATGGATGGATGGATGTTTGGCTGGCTTTCTGGATGGATGGACAGATGGAGAGATGGATGACTGGAATCAGAAAGGCCTGGCTTAGAATCCTTGCTCTCCATTTTTAGACCTAGGCCACTCTTTTAACTTCAATGCGATAGTTCCTGTGTTAATAAAATGAAAATAATAGTACCTACCTCATTCTCTTGGTAACTACAGTACTTTTTGGAAACAGTGCCTGGGCACATAATAAACATTCAACAAATGGAGTCTCAATTACTGTTAGCTTTCCCTTCTGCAACACGGCAGGAGATGCTCTCAACACTGCGCTGCTATGTAAGGGTCAAATTGGACACATTTTCTCCTGCGTGGCCCTTCATTATAAACTGGAGTACCATGAGCTGGTGTATTGGGGGGGGGTTGTTGGTGGCAGTGCTAGGATTTCAGGGGGGCTGGGGAAGGAGTTAGCACTTTTAGGCTTTTCTGTAGCAAGCCAAGCCCTGCCTTGGTCCCTGGGGATATGAAAGGACTGGGCCCTGTCTGCCCTCTAGGGGTCCACTGTGGAGTAGGGGTTATAAACTGGTAATCTGGCTGTGACAGCCCCTGAAATCAGGGCTGTGTTAGGAGGACGTGCGGACTGGATGAAGGCTCTCAGCAGCCTGGGATGTCAGGGTAGATGTGGCAGGAGGTAATGACTGGGCAAAGGTTCACCAGGGAACAGGGGAAAGGCATTCAAAGTGAAGGGAACAGCATGTGGAAAGGCTCAGAGGTCTGGTTCCATGGTGTGGCTGGAGGTACACTCGGCAAAGGGGCCCTGAGCACTTTCTGTGCCAGACGGCGAAGAAGAGTGCTGGCCACAGCTGGGGGAGAGAAGTGGACACTCACCGTGAGGCATTAACCTCGACTGAGATGGGCACATTGGGGCCCCTCAGGATGTCAGCATTGATCCACACGGGCCTTCGGACTCTCCCATCCTCTGTCAGCCGCCGCAGGAGGTCCAGTGAGAGGCCCACAGCCTTGATGCTCTTGAAGTCCAGTTTGATGCCTGTGGGGAGGGGCCGAAGGGCTTGGGGAAATGGTCCCTCATGCTCAGGGCAGAAGGAACCAGCAGACATGACTTCCTGAAGTGTTTGGAGTGGGGTGGGTGATGAGGTGGGCAGACAGGGCCCAGATTCCAGCTGGGTATGAAGAGGGCTTTCAAACAGGCTGAGCTACCACAAAGGAGGGACCTGCCCTGTCCCTGTA